GATGGATAGGATGAGAAATATGGATCAGGTGAGGGAGTAGGAGGTGTAGGTGATGATGTTTGGAGAAAATGAAAATGTGCTTCATTAAACTGTACGTGTCGAGCAACATAAATGCGATCTGTAGTAGGATCTAGGCATTGATACCCATGATGAGATAAACCATACCCTAAAAAGATACAAGGTAGAGAGCGGAAATCCATCTTGTGTGGATTGTATGGATGAAGGTGAGGGAAACATTAACACCCGAAGACACGTAAGAAAGACAAATCGGGTATGCGATTAAGAAGATGTTCAAAAGGAGAGATAATTAATGAAGTGCTAGAGGGCATGTAGTTTATCAAATATGTAGCAAACTCAAAGGAAAAGTTCCAAAATTGCATTGGAACACCATATCAAGCCAAGAGGGTGAGATCAGTTTCCACTATATGGCGGTATCATCGCTCAACAAATCCATTTTGTTCGCTTGTATGAGGGCAAGAGAGATTGTGTATGATTCTAAGAGTTTTGAAAAAGGAAGATAAGTTTCAAAATTCCCCTCCCTAGTTTGTTTGAACTGATTTGAGTTTAGTTTGAAATTGTCTTTTAGCCATTGTATGAAACTGTTTAAATGTGCTGAGCACATCAAATTCTTGTTTTATGGGAAATAGCCACATATATCTAGTATAATGATCAACACAAAGTAAAAAATAACAATGACCATAAAAGGAAGTAATAGGAGCAGGTCCCCAAACATCATAGAATATTAAATCCAAGACATGTGAACTTTTATGATTTGAAGAAGATAAATGCATTTTTGAGGATTTTCTCGTAGGGCATGAATTACAAAAAGAAATGGCAGAATTATTTGTAATAGGGAGATGGTTTTTCGAAATCAGAGTATAAAAGCTGCTGGTGGGGGTGTCCAAGTCTTTGATGCCAAGTTGTTGGAGAAGCTCGAACAATAGAAAAGGCAACATTGGAAACGAGATGAATCTTTGGTAGAGAGAAAGAGTAGATACCATCTTTACTAGCACCCATGAGGAGGATAGTTCTGGTAACCGTATCGTTCATACAAAAAAAGGTAGAGTGAAACTCAAAGAATACATTGTTGTCTTGATAAAGATGTTGTATAGAAAGAAAGTTTCGTTTGATTTGAGGGACATGTAGAATTTTGTTTATTGAAAAGGTTTTGTTTGGTGAATTAAAAGACGTAGAAGCAATATGAAGAATAGAAAAACATTTTCCATTACCAACATGAAGTGTATCCTTACCATCATAAGGCTCAGATCTGTCAAAACCATTGAGATTAGGTGCCACGTGACTGTTTGCACCGGTGTCCGACAACCATGATGATGATGTGTGTGAGCGATAATCAGTAAAGTTTAATTGTGGAGCTTATCTTGGTGGACGAATTGTTGCTGGGTCATGGTACAAGAACCATAGACTGTATTCAGATTAGAGGCCCAACAAATCTACTATTGTTGCCTGCAGTGGAGCCTGAGGTTCGGTTGTTTTGATTGTTGGTGTTGTACGACCGGTTGTTGTTGAAGTACCTGTGACCACGTCGACTAGAAGAACCACGATCACGGTTGGCTGGTGCACGAGCAATATAAAACTCTTGATTTGGTTGTTGTGCAACTTAATTTGGTTGTTGTGCAGGTTGTACATTAAACCCCAATTGTGTCATCAATTTTTGAAGAGATTGTACCGTTTTAGGAGTAAGCGAGGAAGAGTGGATTTGATCTTTTTTTTATCATGTTTTCATGATTAACACGTAATCTAGAATGTTCCAAAAAATGCAACAGGAGGCTGTCTTGCAATCAAGGTGGACTTCAGGGAATTGTATTCTTCTCTTAGACCTGAAATAACCAACATAACAGTGCCTTTTTCTTTCATAGGCTCACCAATGTTTGCTAAAGCATGTGACTCCTCTTGTGCTCGAGCAAGATAGGTAGCAGATGTTTCTTCATGTTTCATCTCAATCTTGAGAAATTGAGTTTTGAGGGTGTATTCTTGTGAGGATGTGCGTGGTGCATAAGCACTTTCCAAGGAAAGCCATAATTCATGAGAAGTATCACCGCGTACATGTTTGATTGAGTCTTCAAAGATCGTTGAAAGCAGCAACATGCAGACGTGAGCATCATTGGAGATCCATGTAGAATAATCAGGATTTGGTTGAGGGGCTGGTGTCAGGGGCGGATCCAAGGGGATCCCGGGGTAGCCCGGGATACCCCTCAAATTTTTTTTCGGTAGTGTAATTTTTGTTTACGTATCCCTCAAAAAAAAAAATTCGGTATAATGTATATATACGCATCCATCCACTTATAAACATAAACAAACAGTTGGTCTACTGGTTACGGCTTTGGCTTATTCAAGCAAAGGTCTTGAGTTCTATTCTCGCTTCTTACATATTCTTTGTTTATTTTTGTTTTATTTTCCCAACTATTCTATCCCACATCGCTAAACACATGTAAACTCAACCATTTTTTTCTATTATATAAACCTGTTATGCTCATGCTTTATTTGATATCTACTTTGAGTCCCATATCGATTTAAGTATCAAAATATACTTCAACTTCATGTTTATATAACAACACTTGAGGTTAGCTAAGGATTCGATTAGGATTTGGGTTTAAAACCGAACCCGAACCCGGGAAACCCAAGTACCCCAGGAAAAAAATTAGGTTACTCTAAAAAAAATTAGGATACCCCTTTAGATGGACAAGAAATAGATCCATCGATATAGCCAAAAAGACCAATTGTGATGAGGAAGGGTTGGATCATTGTTTTCCAATATCCATCATTGGTAGGCTTAAGGTAAATCCAAACTTGTTAGAGTTGTGATTAGTTTTCTCCACTGTGGTGAAGGCTGCAATGGCCATTGTTCACCGATTTGCAGGAACAGGGAAAGAAAAAGAAGAAGAAGAAGAAAAAGAAGAAGAGAAGTGGCGGCTACCTTAGGGTTGGATGATTGGCTCTGATACCATAATAAACTTTGGTATAAGAATTATGTATATTGTGTATTAATATGTTACTGTACATAGAGGAGCTCTATATATAGAGTCATATTCAATCTAATTATAGTAAGCTAGCTGTCTAATAACACTAACTAATAATTACAATCGGTGACTTTAGCACACCAATCTATGTCTAATAAATCGAAGTCGATTTTCTTTTTTCACTTTTTGCTTAATGGTTGGTTCTCCCCCACTTGGGTTCGAACCCTTACCAGTTGCTACTCATAACCGATCAAAGCCCAACTGGCTTTGCATATGTGATTTGTAGCTCATTTTCTCCTTGGAAGAAACTCCTAATTGTCATATACATGATTTAACATCCTCAACGTAGTATCATTGTTTGTTCTCATGAGTGATCTTCTCGTATAACACAACCATAGATCGATCAAGATCTTGGCAAGCATGAAGTTGTCCACCAGTGCACATACATACAAAATGGTATAATAATGTATTACCAACGTAATGGAAATCACTAGCAACAACAATGGTTACTGGTCTTAATACAATTCCTCCCTCTTCTCTGGGACTGTTAACCTTGTTGTGCTCTAACTAACCCTCTATAATGATCGTTTTGATCATATCTGAAACACTAGGTGCAAACGCACACAAGACACTTTCAACTTCACGTATTAGCTACACCGATTGTAGCTCTTCTATCCTTCTGAGTGAAAAGCAAATAAGTTTGAACTTATTTGCTGATGGTACTTGAACCTGTACCTTCTTTTATCCACATACAGACCTTCAATCCCAACTCTTGTGTCACAAACTTGAATTTTATTGGAGACTCCTGCTTCTTCCTAAATTAGGTCATAAAGTCAACACACGATAAGGTGTTTACTTATAATAATAGAATGAATGGTCACGCTCTAATGACCTTCCACAACACGACAGATACACAACAAACTAGACTCTTGTCTCTACGAGTCAAATACTAACATGGAAAACACCTTCTATCTTTTGTTAACAATCCAATATTTCCTACTTTGAACATGGGATGACGACCTACAACCACATCTTAATAAGTGGCATCACTAGTTATCAGCGATTCAGCTCTAACAAAGGCTGCAATACTTTTATCGATCACCTCGATCATCTCCTTCTTCAATCTTCCGACTAAAGCCAGTCTCTACACAAGACATGGTTCTCTGAACCAAGCAACTCGCTTTGCATATTTATATTAATCAGTCTCGACTCCTTATGGCCACTTGGGCATGAATCCAAAATCATTTTCCTAGTCATCACCATAACACAGGTAATAACGGAAACATACAAAACAAACTCAACTACTACTGCTTTAGTAACTTTGCGACTCTTCCTAATCCAAGTACGAATCCTGTACTAGGTAGTACAGATCTATACTACCTTTTACACCCGTCCGTGCATACTCGTCCCAAGAATTTCCTTGCAGGTCAAAAGTCACTACACATTATAACCAATTTAATATATAATTTCGTGTCCAAATGGGCACTTACAACAATTTCGGTAGACTCCACTAGGATTTTCAAATCTCTTCTAGGCGCTCTAATAATAACCACATGCTTTACTAAGTACATATTAAAGTTTCCTATACTTTTCTTCCAGGATTCTTCTCATGTATTTTACAAATGTTAGGTAATCTTGATGGTTAAGTTGGTCTTTGGTTCAGGCTATATATTGTTTATTTCTATTGTTTTTTCAGGCTATATATAGCCCTTTGCCTTTTTGAATAAGTGTGCAGCTTTTTGAGTCGTAAATATATTCATCTCCAATTTTTCATTCTGCATATTCACGTATTACAAACAAACTATGAGTGTGTGTGCTGTTTATGAGTAATATCCATCAACAAAATCCATTTTGAAAAAGGGGTGATTATTTTGTGATAGTTTCCCAGAATGTGATCATTTTGTGATACAGCTCCAGTTTTGCTATTTTAGTCATGAGTATATCTTGTTTTAATTATGGAAGACACCAGGAAGATTTTCTTTAGTTGGAGATATAAATAGAAATACTGAATCAAAAACTTACAATTTCTGAAGTTTTGTGCAGTTTCCAAGGTTTGGAATTTTCCCACTGAAGTTGTTGCTACTTATCCGGCTGCACAAAGGTGAGAAGTAGTGATGACTAACTTAGAAAAAGTCCACAAAATGGGAAAGATAAATTTCAAGGTAGTGTAAAACATGAAATTTTTTTATAATGTTTGTTGGAAAGGGTGAAGAGTGCATACAGTTCTGTCAAATTCGTGAGACGATTAAGCTCCTCTGGCAATTTACCAGTGAAATTATTCGCACTCAAGACCCTACAATTTTAGGATAAACATGTATCAGTTACATAGCCACTACAAACAGGAATGGTTGTAGTAAAGCTACATTAGGAAGAAGGCCTTACAGAACTGATAAATTTGTTAGATTTCCAAGCTCAGCAGGAACAGTTCCGAAGAACTTGTTGTTCTCCAGAATCCTGGTGTTCATTTATTTATTAAACAGAAACCATCATGAAGAATGTAATAACATTATTTAACTATCACCATGAGAGAGAGAGAGAGAGAGAGCGAGAGAGAGAGAGAGAGAGAGAGAGAGAGAGAGAGACAGAGAGTATACACAGTTACAAGAGAGGTTATCTTCCCCAAAGATGTTGGAATGCTTCCTGACAGGCGATTAGCCGTAACAGCTCTATATCACAGTGAGTTTTAATATTTAGATATAAACCAACTTAGAGAAAATCAAGATTCAGAAGTAGCTCACAAGAAGGCCAGATTTGTTGACGCCCATTGAGGAGGTATGGTGTCATTTAGATAATTAAACGATAAATCACTGCAACAAGCAACCCATGTCATCATGAATCATAATAGATTAAAGTATATATGGCAACATTTTAAACATTAAGAAATTGTGTTACATCTTCTTGATTTTAGGTAACTTTACTAGAGACGGAGGAAGAACTCCTGCAAGATCCTGCCCCTTGAGAACTCTGTTCAAAAGGAAAAGTTGGATCTATAATTTATGTTTACACAAATTTCACACTGAGAGGAAATTATGTTTATTCATCGAAGAATATTAATTGGATTTTTTAAAAAGATTAGATATAGTGATATGTACACTGATTTATGTAACTATAATTTCGTTTATTAAAGAAGCAAAAAGGCATATGGAGTAGATGTAATTAATTAAAAAACGAAACTACATACATCTCAGCAACGTGGCAAACACCACCAGGATACGAGCAATCACACAGAACACTGTTTTTAAACTGAGAACCTGTGTCTGTCACTTTTGTGTTCCAGCTGGGATCTCCACCACAAGGGTTCAGGGAAAAATTCCAGTTATTTTTTCCCAATTCTTTAGCTATTTCACGAAGAGCATTCACTGCAAGATAACATAAAATACTTGTGGATATAAAAACAGCAACAAATGTGCATAGTTTTTAGGTGTTGTGAGTTCTGGGAGAAAATTTGTGGAGTCTCTATACGTATTTGTTGCTTATGGAAGTCCTTTTTGGAATAATTAGAATATAACCCAAGTTTCACATCCTATCTAATTGAGTTTTTATGCACACATAAACAAGGATAAAGTCACTTGGTATCTTGACAGAAAGATAAATACGGCATAAAAACTTGCCTTCACCTGGGGCAAGAGTACTCTTGGCTTGTGCTTGAATACCAGTAGCTACTAAAAAGAAAAGAAGTGTACACAAGAGGGGAGTGAGAATAAATGAAAGTCTTGAAATTGGATCGAACATCATTAACATCTAATTAAACTGATACAATCACGAGCAATTCTTGTAATGTCTAGAAATATTTAAACACAATTCAAGTCAACTTTGCCGCCTACGGTGCTCACTGTGACATAAAATAAAACACGTCATCTGCAACTTGCATGCATTTAAAAGGTCATTACAATCAGTTCCCTACCCGTAATTGAAAGCTGACATAATCGTTGTCACAGTGTTGCACAGCATAAAGTCTCCAAAATTCAAGGTGTCAATGGTCGTCTTATCAGGTACACCATAAATACACGAAGAAAAACTTGAGATGTTAAGATGTAGATGGGTATTTATTATTATTATTATCATTATTATTATTATTATTATTATTATTTTTCCATCCCTCTTCTATAGCAAGATGCTCGAATGGAATTAGGCTGTTTATTACTCAGATATAACCCAATTGTCAAATTGGACAATCTAGATATGATTTGGTTCCGATATTTGGATTTTTGGATTTACTTTTAGCAAAACCGAATTATTATTTTCGATTTTGGATTGGTTTTGGTTTATAAATTAAAAACTGAATAATCCAAAAAACCAAATATCAATTTATTATTTTTTTCTTTTTATTATATATCTTTAATTATTTATAAATTTAGTAAGTTACTTTTTTTAGTAGATTAAAATTTTCCATCTATTCTAATATTTTAATATGTACTTCTTATCAAAAGTAAATTAACAAACTAAAATATATTTTTCTTAGTAAGACCGGTGGATGTGGGTAAAATGTTATCACATATTATCATATTCAAAAGTTATCCCCTCACTAGCCATGTCAAAAGGGTGTTTCGGAGGAAATTGACAAAATGCTATAACATGTTATAACATCCTATATATTCCATGTCATCATTTTTTTTGTTTTCTATTTTTTTAAGATTTATTTATTTTATATTTTTTCAATTAATCCTTATTTTCCATCACGATGTTAGTGAAAAAAAAAACGTCCAAATCTCCAGGGACCAGTCCTGTAATTTGTAGGTTTGTACTTTGTACTTAATTTTTTTATTTTTTTTATTTTTAAACAAGAACTTTCATTTTATAAGGGCCATTTTTGAAATTTGCAATTACTTGAATTGGTTATCGTCCCAACCCGAAAAATACTATTTTTGTTTCTGCCATTTTTAGAATTCCAAGCTTGTTTTACAACTGTCAAATAAGCCATAACGTGCGAAAAAGTCTTGTTTCCCTTCGTTATCATGCAACGCCTTGTAACCAGTGGCGAGGCTACACCATCTTAAGGTGGGTCCTTTGACCCACCTAATTTTTCAAGATTTACAATAAATTCTATACCCAAACAATTAGGACCTACCTAAAAAAATTAAAGGATCTACCTTGTGTTGGAAAAAAAATGCGTTAGTTAAAAGAAAAAAAATATATTTGAAAAAAAAAATACATATATTTATCATCTAAGTTAGTTAAAAAATGAAATATATGAGAGATAATATATTATAAATAACAAGATGTGAAAAAACTTTTAAGTACCTTTGTGCTTGACATCTATGTTAACTAATAAATTATAAAGCAGGCATCTTATTATTATAAAATAGCTTCTGGTGTTGTTTTTTTAAAAAAAAAAAAATTAATACATATATTTATCAAAACTTGTTTTTTGAAAGGTCCAGTTGGTCCGATTCAACCAGTGTTATTGGAAAATCAGTCGGTTCCACCTTGTTTGCTAACAAGTGGTTTTTTGAGATTAAAAACGGTAAGATGAGTGCATCAGGTCAAACCGCTGGTGCGATCTGATTTTCAAATTCACACTTGTATTGGTTTGGTTGAACTTGCTTAGTGAACCATGTGAATTTATATTCTAGACTCGCCACTTCTTGTAACATGACACCAAAAAACGTCGAGGTGGGGCGATGTTCCATACTCGTAAAGCCGTTACTGTAACATCTTGTTTCATATCGTTTTGAGATTCAAGGCTCGTGGGCCATAATCTGAGTATGAGAGGGTTTTAAGGTTTTGAAGGAGAAAGGTTTAGGCTCTTCTTGGATATGGATAAGGTGGGTTGTGTGATAAAAGGGTTCGAGTTGTGCTTTAGACCCCAAGGGTATCGGTAAAGGTGTTGGTTCGGGCCTTTCTTGAATTTTGGATTTGAGTTTGAGTGGATTTCAGGAAAAATAAGGTTGATAGAAGTGTAAGGCTTCTCGTTACCTTTCTGTGGATATAAAGAACGTCAAAAACGGAGTTATAATGAAGAAGTTATGACCATTTGAAGTTATGAGGGTTTTGTTACGAACCGGGTACGCAGGGCGTATCGGATGGGAACGCATGTCGTTCAAGGGAAAAATGACGCGGGCCAAGTTGGGAACACATGGTGTTTGCTGAGCTATTTCAAAGACTCGTTTTTAGGGTTTGGCCCCTTTATAAGCATCATTATGGACCCAAACCTCTTCCATTCTTCAGCCTCTATCCCCTCCAACTCTAAGAACGAAACCCTAGCCTCCATTTGAGTGATTCTTGAGCTTTTTGGTGAATAAGAGGGTTTTTGGTACTTATTGTGGAAGAAGAAGTTTCTTGTGGAAGCATTGCTTGGCTTGGAGCTTGTGGATCCAAGCCCTAATCATATGGATCTAGCTCTAGAAAGTATAAAGTTTGAATCTTGGTGGCTTTCTCATGTGGATCTAGTTGGGTTATGACTTCTTATGTTTGGTCCTTGAAGAAGAAGGAACTTGGTGATCAAGCTATGGGTGGAGTAAAGCTTCTAGATCCAGAACCTTCATCAATTTTGTAAACTTCTAGAGGTATAAAGTTTCCATCTTAGTGAATCATGTGTTTAATCTAGCTAGTTGTGGGTTTTATGTGCTTTTTATCCCAAAGCTTTGGTCTTTATGAGCATGGGCTACTCTAGACCATTTGAGTTGTCTTTTCTGAGGTATTTGTGTGTTCTAAGTCATAAAAATGTGATCTTGGTCCATTCCTTCTATCCATGAAAAGGATTATAAAGTTTGGGTTTGGGTTTTAGAACATTTAGTCATGACAAGGCATAAAGTTGGGAACTTTTTGTTGAGAACTGCCTTCTTGGACCAGATCTGAGTATTGGGTGAAAGGACTTAATGAAATAATTCATTAGAACAAGAATTGGAGTTTCGCCGGGAACGCCGTGTGTAATCTCTGGGAATGCAGCGTGTTCCGGCCTGAGTTCCCGTCAGAGATCTGGCGACGAACGTCGTACGTTCCGCCTATGAGCGTCGTGCGTTCGTCTGATCAATAGAGTTGTGGGCTTTGGACTTGGACTTGTTCTTGACGATGGGATTTGCTATTTTGGGTCTTGATGGTCCTGCCTTGTTGGGTTGCCCTGTTAGGCCTAAGGAGTTATTGAGTTCGACCTTAGTGGATCTATTTGGGTTTGGGCCTTATAGGTCCCATTTAGATTGGGCCTTGTGCTTTGGGTATAACTCTGAATGTTATCTGAGAATGATCTTGTTTGGCTTAGTATGTATGGGCTCGTTGTGTAGTGGACAGAAGTGTAGGAATTTCTAGCCGTAGACTAAGGTGAATCTTCTCACTAATTTACCTAGAGTGGTATCCTTTGTGTGACCGGTGGGTCTTAGTACATTATTGACCAGAGGGTCTTATTTGTTTATACTGTGTTATGTGTTATAGTGCATACTGTCTTTGTGACTTATTATCTTATATTATTCTGCGTATATGTTGATCTTATGTGTCTGTACTGAGATATGTGATATCATGTATTATGTCTTGTGATTTATGTTGTATATTATCTTATGCATTATTGAGATAGGACCAGAGGGTCCAACCGAGCCGTAGGATTAGAGGGTCTTCACTGAGACACATGACCAAAGGGTCCTTATCGAGATATAGTCATGAGAGGCTAATTATTGTATGTGGTATTTTGAGGGACTCACTAAGCTTTGTGCTTACCGTGTTATGTGATATGTGTTTCGAGTACTCCTGTAGATTTCGGGAAGGCTTAGGCTCGATTGTACACATCTGTCGGCTTATAGAGATTTGAGGATTTTGGGATACTCTAATGTTGTCATGAAAATAAATTACAATTTATGTGATGATGTGGATTTATGAATAATATCTTGAGAATTAAAAATGAAAACAAATTATTTGAAAATTTTAGAGCGTTATAGTTACCGGGTTGTCCACGTCAGAAAAACGCTGATGGGCGTCGCTCACACCGGATAGCCTAAGGTAGTGTTTGTTTTTTGTCTGTAGATCTGCATGACCTCTTCTTTCTGCACCGCGCAGACCACGCGCAGACATTAGCATTCGCAGATTGTTTGTTTTTTTGAAGACTGCAGACGTAAAAATGTCTGTGCGCCCTCTTGTTGACGCAGATGTGGACCAGAGTCTTTTAATATCTTCAGACATCTTCTATCCTAAAAAAACATATATATCTTTATTTTTTTTAAGTTTTTTTTTTAATTTATATTTTACCAACTTTATTAATGATAAACAATTTGAAAAAGAAAAATTACAAAACTTAAAAAAAAACGTTCAACGATACAAATATGATATTTTTGACAAATTTATAAATAAAAATTTATCACAATAATAGTTGTTGAAGCTGTTTATATAAATATGAAAAAAATAATAATATATTCTTATATTTTTTTTGCCAAATTTTGTAAAACATTATTTAATACAGGATCGTCAATATCTCGAGAAAATATTTATGGTACGTTTTTAATGGATTTAATTGAAAAAAAATTGAAGTTTATTTCCATCCATTTATGTATCAAATTCTTTGATCACTAATTATAATTTTTATTATAACTTTGCAACCAAAGTTGTTGGTTTTTATCAAATATATACGTTAATTCATAAAATTTTTATTTTTATTTTTTATACAATAATACATAAAAGTTGATTTAGATTCGTTAATTATATATAACAAAGTCATAAAAATATTAAAAATTCACTTTGAAGTTTAAAAAAATCAGTTTATTTATATTTCAATTTATTTTAATAGCCTGCAGATGTTAAAAAAACAAAAGTCTTATTTT